AAAAGCAATGATTAGACAAAAGGTCATTTACTGGTGTGGCCTGTGTGTGTGTGTGTGTGTGTGTGTGTGTGTGTGTGTGTGTGTGTGCATGCCTGAGTGCTAATATGTCTCCCTCCGTGTGATAACTTAGCATTAGCTCCAGGACTGCTTCGTGGGAGGGATGCCATGGTAATCCCTGCTTGGCTCCTCGTCTCCCCTCTACCTTTATCCCTCACCCACTTATCATTGCTTCATGTGCCCTTCTTTTCTTCGCTCCCTTGTTTCAACCTTTTAGCTGTTGCTGTGTAGTAAAACCCGTTTTTTTTTTCAGGCTGTTTACAGGTTTAAGATTTGTAATCTAAYTAAACAAAGAATTATGTGTATTCTCTTTTAAAATCCCTTGATAATGACTTATTATGCAGACAGTTTTATAATAAAGTAAGAAAAAAATCAACTTTTTTTCCCAAAAAGAACTTGTTTTGGTTTGCTGCAGACAGAACTGGATGTTACGAATTTATTCCTTATCTTTGAAAAATGCTCTACCAGCTGAAATTTGTTCTATTTCATTAGCTAAGGTCAAAAGCTTAAGAAAGAGATAAAGAAAATAAGTCCTCTTATCCAAAGTTAATCATCCCATCTCTGCAAGCTGAGCAATTCTATACAAAGAGACATGTCAAAAGCATTAAATCATTATTAATGATGGAAAGAAGACTCTCTAGGTGTTGGTCTAACACCAGAAAAGGTGATGCAGGGGAATGCCTGCTGCTCGTTAGTCCAACAGACAGAGTCTGATCTGAAGGATTAGCTTGTTTTGGAATTAGCTCCAAACCAAACACATGACTGACTGCTCACACAAAGCCAACAGTCAAGTCAGATAGCTTACCATCACACTGCTCGCTATTGTGAGGCTAAAGATGAAGAGAGTTCTACAAGTCTGTCTCCCACCTCATGCTGAAGTCATACCAATTAATAATGCTTTGCATTAATCATGAGAATAATAAAATATGGCCGGTCACTTGAACAGTAATCTCATTCTATTGCATTTCATTGTTTTCCTCCCACTAGGAAGTTGGTGCGTAACAAAGAGCTCCCTATAGTAATATTTGCTGCTGTTACAAGTACATGTACAACAACCGTCACAAAAGGCATTCTCTTTTCCACTCCATATTAGTATAAATTGCACAATACACAACAGAATCATGATGCATCTAAATAGTTGGTTTATTTGTAATTAAACAAAATGATACAAAATGAGATGGTTATTTGCAAACACTATTAGCAGTGGCAGGAGCAGTGTGTATCACTTCTGGTGCATAKCAGAGATTTTCTGCAAAAATATCCTTCTAATACAAAATAAATAGGGATTTAAAAGTATTTCCTCAAAACCTAATCTGTTAACCGTTTTGTATGTTTTAATTGGTTGTAAAAGTTTTTTTTTAGCTTTTAATTGTTAGTTTCACAATGCAATTGCACTCTCTCTCTGCACACTCCTCACCACACATAAAAAACAGAACTCTTTCACACACAAAAAAATCACAATTAATCTTTGGTTGAGTTATTTTCCTGATATTTCTTTTGAGTTCGTTGTGCTCATTAACATCCTAACCTTTCATGTCTCCCCCTCTTTCTTTCTGTGTCCCTCGYTGMACCCAGTTTTTTGTGTGATTGCAACAGCTTCTGTAGGCTCTGCAGTTGAATTATTAGTGTAGGAAAAGTAAAAAAAAACTACTTGGCCTTACCTGAAGTTCACACCAAGCGACCTCCACCCAGGTCTCGGTGTCCAGGCCTTTATACACAGTCTTGAAAGCACCTCTGCCCAGTTCAATGTCAAACTTGAGGAACCTTCCTCCAGGAGATGTRGCGACAGCCTTCATCTCTGCCTCCTCTTCCTGCTCACGATCCCTTTCCCTCAAGCTCGGGCTAGGTACAGATGAAGAAGCATCTTTGTCGACCTCATCGTGACCCTGAGATGGGTCGTGCCGCAGAGCTGCGCAGGAAAAAGCAGCCCCTTGTTGCTGGGCAGCGCCAAAGCCTGATTCTGTGGAACGCAGCTCCAGATGGGGGGCACTGTGAGGAGCCTCGGGGGGCATCACAACCTCATCATCTGTCTCGCATATCTCTACGCTCTTTCTGAAGAAGCGCTTCTCCCGTTTCAGTGGTTTTTGACCAGTGTCACCAGGTAGGACAGGCTTGGAGACAAAAACCGGGGTCTCCTCACTCTCCTGGAAGATTTCATCATCTCCCCCTCCTCCCTCTCTTTCCCCTTTTCTAATTCCTCCGTCATCTCCTCGTGTCTCTCTTTCCCTCTGGGCCTTGGAGGAGGGGGAGTCCAGATGGGTGCTGTGTGTCCCATCCTTCTGTTGATCTGTCCGGCTCTTCCGCTCTTTGGCCTCCTCCTTTTGTCCATCAGGCTTCTCGGATGAGTCCTCAGTGCCWGTGGGCTCTCCTGGGTCAGTAGCCATGGGGAATTGTCTTTCCCAGTCCTACAAGACCACCTCCTCCTCCGCCTCCTCCAAACCTTGGCTTCACCGTCAGTCCCCGTCTCTCTCTCTTTTTGTGTGTCTTCTTCACCCAGTTTAGTCTGTCAAGCTGCCCTTTCAATGCGTCAGGTGAAGGCTTGCTCACTTTGGCAACTCTCTCACTYCTTCTTGTCTCCTTTCCTTTGCTGTCTTACACTAATGTAGGAGGATGAGAGACCGACCGTTGAAGAATAGCTTTTGTCTTCATTCGCCTCCTCATCATTTTCCTACATTTTTGTCTAAATAAATCTAASAAAGCCACACGTCTCTCAGTGAACACACTAAGTCAGGTGTTTCTGAATCATCTAGGAAAGTTGAAGAGCTTTTTTTTTCCTTTTCAATTTGTTTTGTGAATACCTTCAAGTCAACCTGTAAGACAAAAACAAAACATTGCATTAAAGTCGGGTAAATATGTGAAAGATTTATTCCTGTGTTGACAGATCTAGGTCTCTAAACAGGTATGACACACTTAGGTAAGCCAACATATACAAAGGTTTAAATGTTAGAAAATAGAAGTATTACCAAATGTTCTCATTTACCAGCTCTTTGCTTTGCAACATGAGGTATTAGTAATTAACAAGGTAAATAAAGCTCAGACTTTGTACAATTAGACCAAAAAAATAAAAAAATAAATAAAAAGACCAGCATAAATATCTAAGGAGCAAGCTTTATCAATCATCCAGCACATCTTCATCACCATCTTGTGACTTTAACTGTGTTCAACAACTCCCTCAGTCAACAGAGAGCTGCAGTTAGGAGAATGCAATCCCAACCATTAAATATGAATGGCGATCTAAGGGCCAGTTGAGTGTGAATAATTCATAGGCAGACTGACTGTTGAACCCTTCAGGAGTGAATATAAGACATCTGCAGTGGAAGGTTGATAAATGTAAACAGCTGTGATTATGATTACCATCAGCAAGGTCACCAGACAACAGAATTAATCAGCAGCTTCTTCGTTCCTGAAAAACTGTTGCTGTTTGAGTTTGTGCTGGCCTGAGAGTAGTGGACATTTTTTCTGGTGACACATTTATCTCACTCTCTTTTTCATTTATTTATATGTATTTTTTGCCATCTGTCCCAAGGTTTCCGATCTTCTTTTCAGTATGACAAAAAATCTTTTAGCAGCTCTTCGAGAACTGTTTTGTTAAAAAAAAAAAAAGATGTTTCATTCAGACACCATCTGGCCTAAAGTTTCTCTGGAAACAGTAGCTAAGAGACAGAGTTAAGCAACCAGTTGCAGAGACAATAAAACCCAAAGTCACCGTTCTGAATTTACAGAAAGTATGCATACTACTGCAAAATGACAACAGGTGCTGGACAAAAGAAACACAGTTATACGATTAAAAGAAATTAAATGAAAAAGTAAATAAAAACAGCAAGGTGAGGTTCAGGTCACTTAACCTATTTGTTTACAACCTATCCCTTATTACTTTACAGCTGAGCACGTGAAACTTTCTAGGGTTCCTCTGAGTACTTTACTGGGACATCCCTGTCAATAACACCCAAACTGTCTCAGGTTACAGCCCACTTAGCTCTGAAGATATCCACAAGGACCACCTTGTACAGTAGGAGTTAGCTCCTGAAATGTCACAGAAGTGAGTCCAGACCAAAAACAAAACCCATTCCCACCACAGGAGTCTAATCTATTCTTTTATTTCTTCCATAAAACAGTGATTAAAACTCAAATCAAGCCTATTGTGKCTCTAGGTTGAAGGTAAACATATCTGACATGCAATGCCAGTAGCTGTCAGTCAGATTAAAACACAAGAYGCTGATGTGAGACTAACTGCCAGACTCTTCAAAGCAAACAGCAAAAATCCAGTTCAGCAGCATTTGCAAGTCATGTGCGGTATGAGACGCACATTAAATGGTGTTGAATAAGTAGTCTATGGTTCAACCTAATGCAACAGAAACTAGAAGCAYTCGGAGAGTGCAAACCTCCGCCAAGACTAATTTCCCCCATCCTGTAAGAGTTAATGTGCAAAAGCAGAGATGGAAACACATTTGCTGAATAAGTTCTGACGTAGCGAACATTTAAGCAGCAGTATGCAAGGGATTTCTTCCCGGTGGAGTCTAATGTGAAAAAAAAAAGTCAGACTCGTCACTCAACGTTATTCATCGTCAAACTGGTGTCAGATTAAGCTCCTAAGTTTTCATCAGTCACATTTCACCATGTAAAACGTCTGTTTTATCCCCTTGTATGAGTTTGTAATGGTTTGACTCTCTTTATAAAGTGCCCCCCCCCCCCAGTCTACAAACTTTGAGGACCGGCAGCTCTCTGTTTACAAACGTAGTAGCGAGAAACTGTTTTGATTGGTTGTTTGGGAAACGCAGATTTCATGGTGCAGTCACGCACTTCCTGGTCACAAAACTTTCTGTAAATGCGCATATTATGGCAAAAATTATTCATCTTTAAATGTGGTTTTAACATTACTTTTATACAGTTTGAAGTCCGTGCTGTCCAATCCAGGTCACTGTTTTTTACAGAAGCCCTGTGAAAGCATCACAGCTTTGCCAATCTCAGAGTGTTAAAAGAAAAAAAATTCCTGTGTCCGCATCATGATCCGGAACATCACCAAAATTTAAAGGTGTGTTGCTTGGCCTAGTGCCCACATGTGGTAAAAATTTTCATGACAAGCTGTCCACAAGTTTTTGAGTATTGTTGTCCACAGACAGAATGACAGACAGACATACGCGACTGARAACATTACCTCGCCCTTGGCGGAGGTAATAATAACTATAGAATCACTGGCTGTACACTGACAGGTTTATAGCATCACATAGATACTGTTATTGAGGTTGTTTTAAGAAAATTGGACTCAGAAAAAAAATTCTGCACAATTTACTTCTAATTGCTTTGATCCAATCAGCTCTTAAAAATAAAAACGCTAATTTAAAAATACAGTAAATGAGTTTCTTCTTGAGTTGAGATGGTTCAGAATTGATTTTATGATTGGAATCATCACCAGCTAATAAATTAGTAGAAAAACACCCTGAAGTATATTTAGGAAATTAGATAGTATATTTCTTATCTGTTCCTCAATGTAGAATGTCCAAAATTTACGTAAAGGACTTGAGTTATGGCAGCCTACAGAGTACAATGAGGCTTTAAAAAGGTACAGGACGTGATGAACATAAAGGGGAAAAAACAACAAGCAATAAAGAGAGGGAAGTTTCCCTTTAAACAGGAGATTTTTTTGCTTATGTCCCCAGGGTAAGGAGTTCCCATGAAAGCCACATACCGGACAGAGTTATCACAGTACATCAAGCACGTTCAACTGCATCACTGTCTCTCACAACCTCCCAGTCTCCCTTACAAACACACATGTGCAAATATTCAACGCACATCAGCTAGTCAGAGGAGATTTTTGTTGTTTTACACTGTGTCTTTTATACACAGACAAAAACACACACATCAAAAGCAAACTGTAACCCAAGCGCATGGCCCTTTTCAATGAAAGAATGACGAAAGGAATTTCCTGACACCAGTCAAATGACCAAGCAGCTGCTCATGCGGGTAAATGTGGTAAACTAAAGTTGACGATAATAAGACCAACACCGCTGAAACTGTGACATTTTACTTGGGCAGCAAACTGACTCTGGCGTAGATTAAGTTTCACGTCCGAATCTTCCTCGCTTCTGTTATCCGTGCTTGAGTACATGAGAACTGAGCATTCAATGCGTTGAGATGTGTCTGTAGGGGGACCGGAAGAGTTTGGATGGGAGGGAAGGAGAGAGCAAAGACGGAGCGGGGGAGTGGGGGCAGGAGAGAATTGCAGACAGAGTGCGAAAATGTGTGAGTGAAAGATAAAGAAATACAGATGACGGGGTGGCATCAACAAGAAGACTAAAAAGGAGCAAGTTGCCTAAGAAAACGTGACAATGTTTACATGAAGGAGAGTAGTGTAGTGTACAGTCAACTGGAGTAATATGTATATAAATTACATTACGTACAATAAAGTACAGTACACTACAGTAAAGAAGTATAATTACTAGGCAATAGTCTACTGGATATTTATTTCAACACAACATATTTTAGCCAAATAATGATCCATTTAAATATTTAAACATGACACTGAAAACACTTGTCCTTTAAGATCAAATAACAACAATTAACAAAATAGTTGGGACAAGTTGTAATCAAATTAATTGTTGTCAATATACACTCACCGGCCACTTTATTAGGTACACCACGCTAGTAACGGGTTGGACCCCCTTTTGCCTTCAGAACTGCCTCAATTCTT